GTGAGTGAGAGAGAGAGAGAGAGAGAGAGAGAGAGAGAGAGAGAGAGAGAGACAGCGCGTTAGGAAACCGTTAATAATTTTTACGACACTCTTAACTCGCGCGCCACCCGGTATTAAGCGGTCCTCCGTAGGAGACGAGCTTTGATCTTCGCCGACGCCGTATCGGCTTAATGAGTGCGAGAGCGAGATAGCGGATGAGTCAGCGCGCACCTCGCTCGCCTGTGGAACGACCTTCTCGTTCGCGCACGGATGCACGTTGCATTGCATACGTTCAGGCGCGCAATGCACCCATCAACACTGCAGCGATGCGCCCCGTGGCGTTGCCTAAAATAAGAAAAAAAAAGAAATCGATATTTGACATTCGCTCTCGATATCAAAATGAACGATTGCATGCGCGCGCGGATACGAATAGGAAACGAATAGGAACTAATTACGAGATTATGTTGATCAACTCCATTGATCTCTTCAGTGGTGACTTTAGATAACTACGCGACTTCCTCCGCGCGAGGCGGTTCTTCTCAATAAGCATATTTAGATTTCTTTTTTTCGTTGCCATTTTCCTTGAAAAATCTTGAGAAACTGAATATAAATATGTCTGACTTGTACTTGTTATAAAAAAAGTATAATAGTTTAAGTAAACAAAAAGAAATTTAATATTTCACGACACAGAAAAGGAAGTGCGGTTGAATTAACCAAGTTTCTGGTGAAATACGAACGAATCAGACATTCCGGTTGAAGTCACCAGAATTCTATTCAAATTAACAAGATTTTTTTTAACTTGAACGCAACTTCAACTGCAACTTTCTGGTTCGTTTATATTTCGCTAGAAATGCAAATCCGACCAAATGTTTTTCCTACGTACACGGAAATTTTTCGAACATATCACCGAAGGGGTTAATCGCTCAGTATTCCGTTCGGTTGACTATTTGTTTGTCGGTGAACGTAAATTGATTTCTTAATCCGGCCTTGTTACTGTTACACTATCTCTCTTCGTTCGGTCGAAACGGAGAAAAAGAGACAGAAACGAAGGAAAGAAAAGAGGAGGGAAAGAGTCGGCGGAGAGGAGGATATCCGACTTACTAATTGCAGCGACGTCGGTGGTCCGGAGGCACACCGCGGGCCATAATGAAAAGCAATATGGTCAGGATACATGGTACGGATCCTGACTCGGACTCATCTCGGTGACTATCCCGAATTAAAATCGTAAATCCGTAGCTCGGAAGAATTTGTGGCGGCGCGCCGCTGCGTTTCGACTTTCTCTCTCTCTCTCTCTCTCTCTCTCTTTCTCCTCTCTTCTCCCTCTGTCTTTCAAAATCTATCGCACAGATCGCGATGGAAACTCTCCATGGAGGGAGGACTTTCGCACGATCGATTTATTCGGGACGATTTTACCGTGACCGTGAATCTGAGATCACACGGCGATCGGAAACGCGCCGCGTCGCACTCCCTTCGCGGATGAAGACGTTTCTATGGGAAATGGATTGAGACCTCAGGGGTGCCTTGTAGTAGATAGCCGTGATTTGATTCGGGAGCAGTTAAACGACTGTAAAGGCCTGGCGTATGCCGCAAACGGACTAAATGGCGGTCTACGAATTCAGTGAGACGAATCTGGTCATGGACCGCTATTGTGCGCGCTGCAAGCTGGCCGGCCGCACTTCTGAAATGCGGAAAGCCCGTAAATTTTCCGACGGCGTGCCGGGTATCGTGTCGCCGGGAAGGTCGGGACGGAAGACGCGTCAACTCTACGTGCGCTCTGTTTGCGTAGGACGGAGACCACCCAGGTCGAGCCGACGCCTCGATGTCCATGGTGGAATCGACTTGGTGGAATCCTTCGTATTGGCGAGCCCAGGCGACGTACGTAAAGGCAGGGGCGGGCCTGTTGAGCGAAATCCAATAGGTCGTTTGACCATTTTTATCTATTGCGGTACGATAATTGTGGTAACGATAATTGCAGGAAATTTCACTGGCATATCTCGCCGGCGTCTCTTCTTCCACGTATGGGAGAAGGGAATATGGCTGTGGCCGTGAAGGGGTCTGATCCGCTTAAAGAAGCCAACAAGGGACAGGGGAACGAGAGGCGGAAATATAGATTACAAGTTTTGCTTAGATTAAGTTATTAAGGGCTGTAAAAACGTCGTCGGACCTCATTGATTATTTTATTGGCTAGAAAGATAAGTGCCTTTACAGACACTGAGACCCGATCGCACTAATATTATTTTGGTTTTAATGCTTTATAAGACAAAACTTTTTTTTAAAGGTGGAGATTTTTTATTTATTATTTTATTTATTTATTTATAATATTAAAGAAAGATAAAGGTAGACATATGTATAAGTTTCACTTAAAGTCAAAATAATGTTGGTGCAACTGGACTTGAATTAGATAATCAAGTCAGGAGCGAGATACATACATCTCAAATTCCTATAAATTGAAATAAAAAAATGTTTCCGTCAAATGACACTTGTAGTCGATTGAGTGGACTTGTAAAATAGTCCGAGAATTTTCCTTTTGTTCTGACAATCAATTATTTAACCGTAAAATTACCATAAAAACCATAAAGCCATGAGAAAAGGTAAGTTAAAAAGGAGAATTACATGTCACATTAATTTTACGGTAATTTATGGAT